CACCCCATCGGGATCTCGATGGATTGAGCGAAAATTGTGAATCATCTGTAATTTATTCCCCACAATACTTGCTTGAAGAAACCCATTTAATGAAACATGTTATCAAGTACGTCCTAGAATTTGGCAAGAAAAAAATCTTAAAAGAATGCCCATAAGTTATAACGCAGGACAGTGATAAATAATAACTATCTATTATTAACATGAAAACTAGAAACGTGGTATTAGGGCAGGGTCTTCGTGTGCGAAGTAGTACCGGCTAGTTGCTTTAAACTTTGAGCTTCGATACCGATGTAAAAGTTATTCAAAATAGCACGACATTTGGGAACCGCTCGATTTAAAAAATGAATGAGAAAACGCCGTATTCAGAAGATTCTCTTCCAAAATGTGAATAATGCTTCACTCGCTGATAGTTAATTAATAGGTAAAAACTCAAAGAGTCATGCAATTGTGCAGTTTCCGTTAACAATTGGATTAGTCATGGGTTCGATAAGCATTAGCCATTAATAATCACTTTTCATTAGTTGTTTGTTTTGTTTGAGTCTTTGGGGTTAGAATTTTAACGGTGCCTTCTCTGTAAACTCGACTGGTACTCTTAATCCTATTTACGGCTAATATATATAATTTTAAAAAATCAATTTGGACACATTTTTCATGATGCTCTCTACCGCTTTAATAAACAGTGTTTTCATAAAACTCATGGAAGCCAAATGTTTTATTTAGCCGATGCGATTGCCAAAGCATATAATTTCATGATAGATGATAGTCCGGTGAAGGATTTACTATCGAGCTGCGGCAAATTTATTTTTCTTCCGGAAATGAGTTCCGCAGCGAGCGGTTCCTGCTCACAATTTACTAGACAATTAGGAACCAAGAAATTAGCGATTTCAGAAATCAAGAGTTCCGTGTTGCATGCTAGGAGGTCGGTTCCTATTCTGACGAAGGTGAGTTAAATAATGTCTGTCATACAAACTCAATGTACCGGCGATGACGGAGGTATGCTTCACCCGCATTAGTCCCACCTCGGCTACACCACATCGGATTACCCTATACTCTTGTGTGCATACTCCTATCTCTGGGAGTAAGCCGGGTCGTCATTTCTCTGGAACAGGAGTCAGAGAGAATCATGTGAATGGCAAACGGGCGACACTGAATATTATTTTCATCCATGCCCTTAGGAATATACCGAAAAATGACGACAAAAGCGCTCTCTAAATAAATTCTTTAAATTTTTTATACTGGGTCTCTAGTTATGTAAATAGGTGGTTGAACGATTCAAGTTCAGAGCAGAAAGCCTCGAATTCGATAAAACGTTTGCTGACAGGCAGGTTTTGCCGAATAGACCGTAGCAGCGTCAGGGAAATGCTCCTGACGCTTTATACGACAGCGTTTACTCAGCTGGCTGAGCCGCATTACCGTGTCGCAATTATTACAGGCAAAGGTGCGTGCCAGGTATACTCGGCCATCACAGGATAAACAGTGCGAATGACAACTGTAGGAGTGTGTTAAACTTCTGCAAAATAGCAGGCTAATCGTCAGTGAAATACTCTTCCTCATAGGCGAATGAAAACAGCCACATGGATGACTAAAGCACCCAACTGGACTGTGCCCTCATCAGCATCAAACGGCGGAGCTCGTTACTCGAGAATCACACCAGACGAGGCTCCTGAATTGAGTTCGATAAATATTGGTCGAAGCGGAACTTCGCCTGAAATTAGGCTTCTCACTTTGACGTCGTACATCGTCTGGCTGAGGTACCGTAGCTCCTTGATGCTGATAATCTAAAATATGTCGAAACCGTGCGATTCGGCCACAACAGAAAATAGTTATTTTACATAAATAAGACTTCAAAATTTTGATTCAGGGCCTGTACTTATACAGAGAGATTGTTGAATGATTCATGTTTCAGGGCATTAAACCCAATATACGGCAAAATTGTAAAACACCGCCACTGCCAGTCTCAAGCCTGGAAGAAAAAGGAGGAAGGTAGGAGAACGTGGCAAAGTCTCCGTAAAATGTAGCTACCTGCCACTCACGGCCATCATCGAACTTTACAATAGCTCCAGGGTTATCAAAAGCCATTTTGGTTGTTAAGGGGGCCAAGACAGGCTGCGAAAAGTCAGCGATAAGAACTAACCCTCTTCTGGCAGCCGGGGAAACGGGAAGGTTGTAACAAGAAAAAGTCTGTCAAAGATTGACAGAAGTTAGCGACGAGCCTTAGACATCCTACCTGTTTTGAACGGAGGAGGCAGAAGGAGCAATGCCATCATTGCGTGTACGAAAACACTCCAAGG